GTTTACCTTTTGATTTGTTGTTGGAAGGAGTCTGATCATTATCTTTCCCATTCTGCTGACTGTTATCACATGTAGGGCCTGGATGATCCTTCTTCTTTGTTTCACTGGTAGGAGTAATAAGATCTTGCCTCCCTAAAATATTATCATTATTGTCCTAAATTTTCTGCACTTGACCCTGACTTGTAGCATTAACCTAAGACCTGTCTGGAACTTGTTGTTTATTTTGAATGTGATGCTGAGGGGTAGCATGGGCTCTATGGTCTAGACTATGGTCAATGTGAGTGTTATCATGCCCAACATGAGACATATTCCCCCATTTGGATACCCCATCCTGCAAATTAGTTGTGTTCTCTTGACACCCTCCTTCCAACCCTCCAATAACTTCAACAGTCTCATCCAAACAATTAACAAGGGGGTTCTGGGGTAAGGGAGTAGTAAAGTCAATACCTGTGATCCTTTTTCTTTGATTTTCAAAATTATTTGACAATTGATTGGATGTGGAAGGTAAGTCAGTGGTTGACTTATTATTAATTTGTGTCTCTATTGTATCCTTATTTTTTGAATTCTAATTTTCAGCTCCTTCTTGATTGTTTGGTTGATCTTGCATAGAAAGATCAATGAAATTATTAGAAGTAGGGAGTGCAGAATTAGTAGTCATACATGTGTGATGAGTCTATTGCTGCTGCAATGTTTCCTTAGGAGATTTTGGTCTGTCCATGCTATGTTGAACTGGCCTGTAAGCTCCTCTTCTGAGTCTGCCATTCTTCATTAGCTGGTTTGTTGTTATTTCCTTGTTTTTGGTGTTGCTAGTATTGTGAAGTGGTGTTTCCATCCTCTCTATTTGTGTATTGCATTTGCAGGTTTCTGGAATCTTGTTTGCCTTGTTCCCCTTTGTTTTTGTTCTTCCTATCAGCCTCCAACTCTTTTCTTTTTTTAAATTCCTCATCTCTTTGCTTAATAGTACAGACATGTAACAAGTGTCCTTGGTGTTTACAATACATGCAGTAAACCGGAATATGCTCATATTCAATAGTTTGTCACCTCCCTATGTTGAGATTTTCTTCATTCAACCCCATCCACACATGAGGAGGTCTCTCTTTGGTAAGATCGATTTGGACTTTGACCCTAGCAACACTTCCTCTAGTTTTTTGGATAGAAGTAGTGTCCAAGTACAAAACTTTGCCAATAGGAACTCAATAGGGTTGACAAGATGTCCTTGTGATAGCAATGCCAAGGTAGCTCCAGTAGAGAAACCCAAATAGGGACTATAGGTGTTTGCTCCTCAGGCCTAAAAGTAGGAGTCCATTTTTGAATTAGTTGGCTTTCAATGAATACTCTCCAATTATTCACTTCCACATCTTTATTGTTATGAATTGGTTTGGCTTACTGTGAATTTAAGCATATTAAATACATGATTTATTTCACTAACTTATAATTTTATTTTGAATGTGCAAGAAATTGTCGGTAATTGAATTTGAATTGTGATCAGAAGTAAACTCAATCAATTGTAGTGAACGATGAAGAGTTTTTGTACTATTGTCATATATGTTTGAATGCATTTGGTTTTGTGGAATTTATTGATAATAGAGATCTTTAAGCAATCACTTTCTAAGTATTGGTTGTACAAGACATGTTTCTCGAAGTTTATTTGAAACATATAGCTTCGATTTAATTATTAGTTAATTTTGTGCTTTAGGTCACTTGTATATTTAATTATGTGATTATTGAATATATGAAAATAAAAATTATTATTCTTAAAAATAAAAAATTGTGGCTACAAAATTCTACACAACATTGCCACACTTCAAAAGTGTTGATGTAGGACGTCCAATGTTATCTTGTACATAAGAAAAGTTACATTTTATAAGTGTTGCTCTAGATGAGATATAAAAGGCAATACTTTTTAAGTGTGACCAATAACAAAGCAAAGGCAACGCTTTTAAGTGTAGTATAACAAAAAAAAAGGTGTCGCTAATGCATCACTACAAAGCGTGCCCTTATACCTCTTTGGCTACGCTTTATAAGTGTAGCTGTGATGGCAACATTTAAAAAGTGTTGCCTAAAGTCAAAGGTTACGCATCTTTAGGCCATCCCCTAAAAAGCGTTGCTTAAAGTCCAAAAGTCTTTTATCAAAGGCCACACTTTTTTATAGTTTAGGCTACACTTTACTGGGGTGGCCGCATGCCTAAAATGTTGTAGTGATGTTAATCATTTTCCACTTCCATTCCAGAAGATCTATATTCTAGGCCATACCATCGGGCCTTTGGTGCTCTACCTTGACTTGTTGGTAATTCAGGCACTTAGCAACGACGAACTCTACAATACACCTCTTCATACTACTCCACCAATAGACTTCTCTCAAGTCATGGTACATCTTTGTGGAACCAGGATGGATAGAGTATCTAGAATTATGGGCTTCTTTGTCTCTTGGAGATCATCCACCCTTGGTTCACACAATCTACCTTGATAACTCTATACACCATCTCCCCCTTGTTCGAAATCCATCACTTTCTGCTTATGAACATTTGCTTTCAATTCAAGCAAAACAGGGTCTTGGTCTTGTTTCTCCTTCACTTCAAACACTAGTGATGGTTCAACTCAATTCATCACCACTACTCCACCTTCGTTGGAATCCATCAATCGGACTCCCAATCGTGCAAGTTTGTGCACATCTTTGGCCAATTCTTTCTTTTCTTACTTAACATGGGAAGTACTACCCATAGATAATCTGCTCAAAGCATCAGCAACAACATTTGCCTTACCTGGGTGATAGAGAATACTCATGTCATAATCCTTGAGTAACTCCAACCACCTCCTCTGTCTGAGATTAAGCTCTTTCTGACCGAAGACTCTTGTGATCGGTGAACACATCTACATGAACACCATAGAGATAGTGACGCCATATTTTCAAGGCAAACACTACAACAACTAACTCTAGATCATGGGTTGAGTAATTATTCTCATGAATCTTAAGTTGTCTGGAGGCATAGGCTATAACTTTGTCATTCTGCATCAAAACACAACCAATTCCAACTCTCGATGCATCACACTACACAACAAAGCCTTGTGTACCCTCCGATAAGGTCAACATTGGGGCAGTGGTCAACCGCGTTTTCAATTCCTGAAAGTTTTTCTCACAAGCTTCAGACTATTGAAACTTCGTTGTCTTCTGAGTCAACTTTGTCAACGGAGACGAAATAGATGAGAACCCCTCGACAAACCTTCTATAATAATTAGCCAATCCCAAGAAACTCCTAATATCAATTGGAGATGTGGGTCTTGGCCAGTTCTGCGCTGCCTCAATCTTTTGAGTATCAATTCGAATTCCTATACCAGAAACAATGTGGCCTAAGAACACCACCGACTCAAGTCAAAACTCACACTTGGAAAATTTGGCATACAACCCTTAATTTCCTTATAAATCCTTAGGCAATCATTAGATAGTTATTATATGCACACTTTGTCCCCCAAATTCATTCTCTATCAAGTGTGTACGTATATATATATATATCCTCCACCTCACATTCTCTTATAACAACCACTATCCAAATCACTAATTCCATCTATTTGCTGTTACAGAAGCACTATACTCATTAAAAATTCGGTAGTTAATTATTTACACAGAAGCGTACCCGCAAAAGAATGCACAGTTGATCTTTGATGTCGCTGCATTCTCTTTGTTCTCTCTTCCCCACTTTTCTTTTCTTCTACTGATTATTTACTATCCTATTATTAAAAGACTAATTATAAAAATGGTAAAAGTGCCCCCTACTAATTTTAATGTTTTTTTTTAATCATCAACTAAATTAATTATTTAAACTACCCCCTTAATCATATAACTATAGTTACGAATAGTTTAAAATACTCATTTAAAACCTATCAAAAGAGTCTTTTATGAAATAAAAAGTTCTATTACTCAAAACGACCAAATAAATCGTTACATCCATCCATTAATTACACAAATCATATTTACCCATATAGAATATGGGCAAATTGGATAATTACCTATTTTTGTTCAAACCATTTTTCAATTCATCCAAATTCAACTAAATCCAACTATTTACCATCCCTAGACCCGTGTTATCTTTTATTCAATCTGATGGTATTCCAACAATATTGTTAAATTTACCATAATCTATACCAGATACAAACATGTAATTAGTTTCTAAACAAATTTCACACACAAAAAGTAAGCACATCTAAACTAGTTAAGCTTATACCATATTTTATTGGGATAAGGCACAAGTACCCCCTAAACTATGACCGAAATTTCAGAGACACACCTTGATTAAAATAAGGTCTTATTACCCCCTGAACTTATTTTTTTTATAATTTTGTACACCTTTTGTTTTACGTGGCACACTCCGTGACTCCACGCAATTGAGACGAGTGAGAGATAATTGGATGTCACGTAAGCCAACAAGGTGCCCAAAATTACAAAAAAAAAAAAAAAGGTGGCTTCAGGGGGTAACAAGACCTTAGTTTTTTTAAGGTGTGTCTCTGGAATTTCGGCCATAGTCTAGGGGGTACTTGTGCATTTTCCCTATTTTATACACAATTCATCAATTAATGTTTTAATTGAGTAAATAAGTTATACCCCTTTAATTTAACGTAATAAATTGTGCATCTCGATTTTTAAAATAGATGAATACATGTATCTTACAAATAATGATTATGTATCTCAATTACTCATCTAATTATGGAAATCAGTTACAACTTTATGTATTTCGATTTTAGAATTCAGCATATTAATATATCTTGCGGATTCAAACTCATGTATCCTAAGACAAATTATGATAGAAAAACTAATATTTGAAACTATTTGGAATTTTAATAATTAAGACTCAAACTAGTGAGATTTATATAGTTTGACAATAAGATATAAACTTAAAGCCCAGTAATATGTCTACTTCAGCTAAAAAGCCCCTAAACATTACATTGATTTTCTCCGCCCAATCCAAAGAAAGTTGAAACAAAGAAGTCCCAAATTAATCTCTGAAATGTCACTCCACAAGGTACTTCAAAACCTAAGAACCCTCAAAAAATGGCAAATCCTAAATCCCCGTCTTCACCCTAGAGCAAAAATTGCAGACACCATTATCAATACAGTGCTAAGCCCCATAGTCATTGCACCCTCTACTCTTCTCTCCAACCTCACTCCCAATTTGATTCTCCTTATTTTATCTGACCCACATATCAACACACCTAAATGCCTCGACTTCTTCAATTTCCTTTTGCTTAATCAATCTTTCATTACTTTCAAGATTGGTGTTGAAACCCACTTGACACTTGTTTGCAGGCTTGTCAAAGAAGGATACTTTGAAGATGCTGAGACCCTTTTAGTTTTAGTCCCAAATATTGAAACTTTCAGGTACCCTTTTACTGTTAAAGCTTTTTACTTTTTGATAATCAACATTGTTCCTTCTTTGATGCTTAAAGAATTGAAATTTTTCAGGTGCCCTTTTGCTGTTATAGCTTCTTTCTTTGAGAATCACAATGCTCCATCAAAGTTTGCTTCGAAAATATTCAATTTGCTTCTTAAAGCTTTATCTGATAACGGAAAATTCAACGAGGCTTTAGAGATTTTCATGTATATGAAACTAAATGCAATTGAGATTAATGAGAGAACATGTACTGTTCATTTGATTAATCTTTTGAAGTGTGATCAGATCGCGTTAGCGCTGGTATTCTTTTATCAAATGGTTGAATCAGGTATTCAGGTTTCAGTATTTTCGTTGACGGTCGTGGTAGATGGATTGTGTAAGAGTGGGGAGATAAAGAAGGCTAGAGAATTGGTGGAGGAAATGTTGTCTAAAGGGGTGAAGCCTAATATTATTACATGTAATACCTTGGTGGATGCTTGTGCTAGGAGATGGAATTTCGAAGAAATGAACAACATTTTGGCCTTGATGAAAAGGGAACAAGTCGATTTAAATGTTGAGACTTACAAATTTTTGGTGGATGGATTTTTGAGTAGTGGGAAGATTGATGATGCAGAGAGATTGATTTTGGAAATGTATGTCAAGGGTTTTAAAGTGGATATCCATTTGTATAATTTGATGATTAAGGGATATTGCAGGCTAGGGAATATGGAAAGGGCACTTTCATTGTTCAGGCAGATGATTGAGAAAGACATCTGCCCTAATTGTGATACATATTCAGTTTTGGTAAAAGGACTTTGTGATAAAGGACAGGTAAGTGCAGCAAAAGAGCTCGTAGATAAAATGCTGGGCCAGGGAATTGAGTTGGATGGAAGTATGTTCGACATCTTAATTCACTGTTACTTCAAGGCTGGAATGATTGAGGAAGCTGTTAGCGTACTTGCATTGATGGAGAAGAGAGAATTCATTGCTGATACGTTTGTGTATGAGCTGATAATTGATGGATTACTCAAGTTAGATCGGACTGAAAAGGCAATATCTTGGTTAACACCTTTAATCAAAAGGGGTGTATCTAGGCAGAAGTTAGCTACTATTCCACTGGTCGATTATTTAAGAAATTCAGTTTCTGAAAAGTTGGTTCACAAACGCAAAGAAAATGAGAACAGCTTTAAAACAACCTTTTACTCTGATACGATTAGTTTACAGCACGAGGATGCACATTCTGCTGAAATGACTAACATTTCAGCAGTAATAAACGAGTATATAAAGTAAAATGCTGCTTAACTTGTTGTTCAGAGAAGGAGGAGACATGCATCCTAACTGAAAAGAACCCATGATGATGTGGCACTGAAGGAAAGTTTTGAGGACGTTGGTTGCCTTGTGTGTCAAGGGGTGCGGGTTTTGTCATGATAGTGCTGGATTTTTGGACGAGAAAACAGGCTGGGAAATGATGTGGGTTGTCAACTATCACCTTGGGAGGTATTTTCCTTCGTCAACCATATACAGAGAAGCTTTCATTTCTTTGATGCAAGATTGAATAAATTTTAATTCTTTTTAAATGGAGATTTGGATGGGAAAAAACAGTCATTATTTTTAAGAAGAAGACACAATACGAAGGGCTATAACACGGGATATACCATACTCAAAATGTGTCAAAAATTCAGTTGTGTATGTTCCAATTTGTTTAGTGTATCTGACAGACTGCCAGTGTGTTGTAAAAAAAAACCTGATTATACCTAGTTCAGATATGATGGATTCTTGGTTATCTGTGGAACAGTTTGTTTGGGAATCAGGGAAAGACACCGAAAAGGAAAACGGAGAGGGGGAAAGTGAAGGATAAATAACTCTACTTTTTTGTTCGGAGAAATGAGGAAACCATATGCTTGCCCGTTGTCCCTTCACATTCACTACTTGTGTATTGAAGGTAAATCAATTTTCCTCTTCATTCATTTCCCCCCGTCTTCTATACGAGCCAAACAAAGGATTGAAAGCTTTTATACTCTTTTGCCTGTTTTCTCATCTCCCCTTCTTTTCCCTTCTTTCCCTAGTCAAATCAAAGCCTAAATTTCGTATGACACGACTCATTAGTACTTTTTATCTATAATCCGTACCTAAACTTGGTGTCTATACTCTTGTCAATAATAATATTAAGAATACTATTGACCAAATACATAGGCAGTCCCACTAACTTGCCCCTAATTTTCATTTTAACCCTCTAACCGCATTCCATAAAAAAGTCCACTTTGACTTTGACTTGAAAAGAGTACGTTTTCGCCTTCGTTGTTGAAAAGTCAGGACCCATTTTGGGTCTGTCCCTGGCTTATCTATTTAGCGGTAACAAGTTGAGTTTGCTCCTCTTTCTAGTGATCTATTGGTTGTAGACCACCTTGTTTGATAAGGGATTAGGTTTTTTGAAATTAAATTTTGATTGGTAATTTCAGCAGCAAAATATCCACTATTATTTTACCTTGCAGGTATCAGGTGAAATTGAAGCTCAGTTTGCTCCAATTGGTGCTAAGTCTGTTCTTAAGAAAATGTTGTCATACCGCAACTCTGTACCCTTTTATTTACCTAAAGGCAAAGCCTTGAGGCTATCCCTGATGCTCTGATTGCCCTTTCATAGGGGCTTTCTGAAGGAGAGTTGGATTACTATGCCAGCAAGTTTGAACAATGGTTTCACTAGATTGGTTTCATTGGTGCAGTTAACTACTATCGAGCTATATCTAGAGCTATCAAAATGGGTTGGGCCGACTACCTAAAGGCAAAGCCTTGAGGCTATCCCTGATGCTCTGATTGCCCTTTCATAGGGGCTTTCTGAAGGAGAGTTGGATTACTATGCCAGCAAGTTTGAACAATGGTTTCACTAGATTGGTTTCATTGGTGCAGTTAACTACTATCGAGCTATATCTAGAGCTATCAAAATGGGCTTGGCCCACTAGGTCGGCCCAACCCAATCCTTGAATTAAGTGGGGAAGGGCCTAATTTTTTTTGGCTCATTTAGGAACGAGGCTTTTTAGCCAAACCTCATTTGGCCCGCTAGCCTCGTAGGCTCAACCCGCAAGCCTCAGAGGCCAGCCTGTGGGCTATGAATATTTTAAAATATTTTTTATATATATTTTTAGTAGTGTTTTATTTGTAAAGTTTTTATCAATAAATATTTTTTAAAAATAAAAAATCAAGTCTTTTAAACTAGCTAGTTTTTTGTGGGAGGAATGGTGGAATGATCAACATTTTTCGCTAAATCTTACGTTGACTATTGTGTATTTTCGTAAGTATTCACCGAAGTGTGTGATTCATAAATGTATTTTTGTAAGTATTCATCGAAGTGTGTGATTCATTAATGAAAAAATTGTATGTATTGATGTCGTGTTCATAGACGTCAACGTTCGATACTCTTAGATACTCTTTCTAAGAGAATAATATTGGTCATTTTTTGGTTGAAGGACCAACCCTTCCCAACCCGTGGCTCGCTTAGGGTTGGGTTGGGCTATTATTTTATTGGTCATTTAATTAAAATGGTCAGCTCGTCCCAACCCATTTAACTCTGTAGCCCGTTAGAATTGGGTTGAGTTGGGTTGGGTTAGACCAGCCCATTTTGACAGCTCTAGCTATATCCATGTAAGCATTCCTCGCCTTCTGTGATATCGTGAATTTGATTGCATTTGTTCGACACTTCAGTTGTATGCTTATGTAGTTCTCATATGTTTCAAACTATTTGGGATTATTGCAATTACATTAGATTTGATCTTTGTCAAGAGAATAGTTAGGGCTGGGCATAAAATATCGAAATTCTAACTGAGGATTTTGGTTATTTAGTATTCGATATTGGAGAGTAAAATTTTAGAATTATGATATTTGGAGTTAGATTTGGTACGAGACATTAGTAATTTAAAATTCAGTATGTTTTCGAATATTGAATTATTTACTTAATTAAGGTCATATATCAACAAGCCCATCAGTACAACTCCAAAGAGAAAATTAAAAGACTTAACATAAACAACCCAAATACATATGTATCCAAATGCGTTAACAAAAGAAATGGTCATTTGATTTTCTTCTTTTTATGTGTTGACTTCTGATCAACTGGACAAAGTGATAAAATATTCACAATGTTGTAGTGGGTAGTATTTCCTAGTTATTACTTACTACTCAATAGCATTACATTTGATCATAAAACATTAGAATCTTTTTTTTTTTTTTATATTTGAGAAATTCGTCTGTGACCTGCCTTTTGGACCAATCACAGAATCTGAAAAGATTAGACACAAATGTTTTTGTTACAATTCGCATTGGTTGTCCATTTGTGTTTGTAGTGCCTTCTAGACTCGGGGGATAATGGGTCCGCCCCTCTACCCTTCTCCACTTAAATATCGAGCTTCGTTTTGCATGGTGTGGCGCTTGAACTTACGACCTAAGCCATAAATCCTCCACCTTTTGTCACTCGAGCTAGGCCTTGGGGGAGGCACATATCTCTTTTAGTTGTGTCAATTTGCTTTATTTGATGTCTTTTTATTTGTTGATCTTTTATTATATCGTGCATTCACATTGAAAAACAGAAATAATTGGAGCAATAGTATTAGCTTTATAGTATAGTCGGCTTCAACTCCAATATGGTATTACCGAATATCGTACTAAATCAAAGTTTGATTTACTGATTAAAAGTTCGGTATTTGATATCTACTTTTATTTTTAATTACTTGTAAGTGATGTATTTGTTTTTAGTTTAGGCTTTTCTTATCAATGCTAGAAGACTATATCCTAAAACAGGATGGGTTTGGGATGAAAGTACCTATACTTGCAGTATTTAAAAATAATAATATTATAAAACTGTATTTTGTAATGAAAGTACCTATACTTGCAGTATTTTTTAAAAATAAAATATTATAAAACTGTATTTCGTAAAAAAAAAACATAAAAATTGACATTTGAAATTTAACAAAAAAAAGTAATGCAATAGAAACTGTGAATTGACATAAAAACACACAAGTTTAATATAAAATATAAAAAAATAATAAAAAAACATACCAATTAACAATTTATTTTCATTTTAATTGATATATAATTTAAGAAGTTCTCAATATTTTATTCTTTAATTCATTGAAGTTTAATTTTAATTGCATAAAATATTTACATTATAAATGCATGCTTGAAACATAAAACCTATTGTTATTACTTATGTGTTATATAAAATTAATTTATTAACTATTAAAAAGCTAACTAAAAAACAAATATGTGTGAAAACAGAATCAATTTCAGATTATTTTCTTATGCATAATTATATATTTTAGTCTAATCTTAATTATTATTAGTTTAAAAGTTCCCACACACACATTAATGGAAAAAATAGTTTTAGATAAAACAATTTCATAACTCTCCATCCTTTACTACGGAGTCCTATAATCAATGAAAAACTATGTTGATAATCTTTTATTTTATCAGTAGTTATCTTAATATAATCTATAATCTATAAGTTCTATCTTTACCTATATATAAAATAATCAAACTAATAATAATGATAATAATAATAATAATAATAATAATAATAATAATAATAGATTTCTATTTAAATTAAACTAATAATAATAATAATATAATATAATAATACTAATAATAATGTATTGTTTTATTTTTTTTAAAAACAGCCAACTAAATATGTCCTTTTAATCTTTATTTTGAAACAAAATAGTAATAATTATCCAACTAAATAGGAAGTTTTAAAACGTTGATAATCTTTTATTTTATCAGTAGTTATCTTAATAGAACCTATAATCTATAAGTTCTATATTTACCTATATATAAAATAATCAAACTAATAATAATGATGATAATAATAATAATAATCATAATCATCATCATCATCATAATAATAATAATAATAATAATAATAATAATAATAATAATAATAATAGACTTCTGTTTAAATTAAACTACTAATAATAATATAATGTAATAATACTAATAATAATGCATTATTATTATTTTTTAAAAACTGCCAACTAAATATGTCCTGTCCTTTTAATCTTTATTTTGAAAACAAATAGTAATAATTATCCAACTAAATAGGAAGTTTTAAAACTTCCCATTACACTCTCACTTCTAAACAAATTGAAGAACTTTTAAATTATAATTATTTATTTTAAAATAAACCACGTATGGAAAAAATTATAGGTTTTTAATCTTTATTTTGAATTTAAAAAAAATACCCAACTAAATAGGGAGTTTTAATTCTTCCCATTACACTCCTACTTCTAAATAAATTGAAGAACTTTTAAATTAAAATTATTTATTTTAAAAACCCCAAGTACAGAAGTTTCTTTTAAAATTTACATTTAAATATCATTTAATATTTTAAGTTTTATTTCAGATTTTTCTTTTGCATTTTAAAATAAATATTTTCTTAATAACATATAACCTTTTATCTAAAAAATAGAACTGATGATAATGTTAATAATAATAATAATAATAATAATAATAATCCAATTATAATGTTATTATAAACATAATTTAACAATTTATTTTCATTTTAATTGATATATAATTTAAGAAGTTCTCAATATTTTATACTTTAATTCATTGAAGTTTAATTTTAATTGCATAAAAAAATTATATTATAAAGGCATGCTTGAAATATAAAACCTATTGTTATTAATTATGTTTTATATAAAATTAATTTATTAACTATTAAAAATCGAATTAAAAAAAATATGCGTGAAAACAAAATCAATTTCGGATTA